TTGTCCTCTCTAATAATCCCAGATTTTTTCTCCTTTAACCTACCATGTCCACTTTTGTAAGTGTCATCCCTTTTTTTCTGTGCCTGGGTTGCTGAATATTTTAGGGTAAAGTTTTCAAATAAGACGATTAGCACTTTAGACAAGCTATATTATTTAATTCAGGCCTCACAGCATCCCTGGGTATATATTGATGGTAGAACTGAGGCTCAGAAAGGTTTAGAGACTCATTTGGCTCATGTACTTTTGGATTTAAACCTAGATTTGTCTAACATCAAAACCTGCTTTCTTTGCATTCCTTTGGCCCTGTTCTAGTTCATTCTGTCTCCTCTCAACTTTGTGCTTATGTTTTTTTCTGCTTCTTACTGACTATGTGATACATGTTGACTTTTTTCCTCATTCCTTAGTAGATAATTTCACTGAAATGATTTGAGGGGATCCAGCAGAATCTCTTCAACATTATTTTCTTTATATGCTCTCATTTCTCTGCCTCCTCATTGCTAATATAGTATCCTCTATGTTACTGATTCCATTCTTTTTCTCATCAAGGCTTTGGTTCATGATTTATTCCTGTTTTCTGTTTCTTTCAAGCTCTCTTTTCATACTGATTCTTTTCCTCTACTTTAAAAAGGAAAAAAAATCCTGAAAAATATCCATTAAATTTAGCAGTCCTATGTAACTAGTGATGTTAGCAAGAGGCATTTCAGTAATGCCTGCAGATTCCAGGAGGCAGAGGGTTGATGACTGAATAGGAGATAAGGTATTGGAAATGATGAGTGCACACTTCTTTAAAGAAGGCTTACAAGGAAAGGGGCAGGGGCTGTATGATTGCAAGACAGGGTTTAAGAGATAGGATGGATTTGCTAAAAGGAAAACATACAAAAGGAAAGAAAAAAGGAAGAGGTTTGTAGAATTAAAATACCTGAGTAAAATCCATAGGATTAGCCTCAAATGCCTTTACATACAATCAGTGGCGATCTTTATAGGCCCAGCTGAATCTGAAGCTTTTCTTTATTGGC